GCGCTTAATTTAATTTATAAAATCCAGGCATGAAGCCAGCCCGGTTTTGTTTTTTTTATGAACAAAGAGAATTCATCAAGGATTGTGCCGTGCTTGTTGCCCTATTGCTTGAAATGCGGGGTTTTAGTTTCAGTAATCTACCAATCAGCTCAGGGTTGGCAGCCGAGGTTCCCCTGGATAAACATGCACTGAGTTATTGACTATAGTGAGAATTCAAAGTGAATTTTTGATTTAACGTCAAAATGGCCCAACTGGAACAATTCTCTGTCAGTTATGTTTTCAATTCAGCCACCCTGGCCTTTAATTTGAAATCCACTTTGTATTCTCCCCGCAACTGATTTTGCCTAAAAATGTTACATCCGTTTAAATTCCAGAAAATAGAATTTACTTTGTATCTCTGGAAATGCGCTGTTTAGTGAATGAATCCACTCATTAGATCAGTAATGGGTATGACAGAAAAATTATCTGCTCTCTGTTATATAAAAAGGTGTCTCCCTAGAATCCTTTCAATAATAACTGGTGTTCTCTTCATTAATCAACACAGAGACTCCAATTTATTATAATTATTCTGTTTAGCAAGTAGATGTAACACTAAGGTTTTTCTTAATGATGTGTCTGAGAGCCTAATTGTTAATTTAAAATGTTGCCTCATGTAGGTGTAAAGTACATCATAAACGTTTATTCTTTTAACCCTTTAAATAAGAGGCATAGACGCCCTTTAATTCAGATAATATAGAATTATTAAACACAAGTACACGCTGTGTATACACAAGTCTGCATTCACAGTCCAATCACACACTGCGCCAGAAACAGAATCTCATACGTTGCATTTTAAATGTCACACTAATTGCAACCCCTTCATGACAAGGACTGTTTTGTATCTTGTGGACCAGCACTTTTTACATTTTTGCTGAGTCTTCATTCCCTCATTTCATGCACGTCAATATACATATATGAAAACATGCGTACGTAACTAGGTAGTAAGATATCACAGAGCAACACGCAATCAGTCTAGTTGCGCACACGTGTTTATCATCTGGCATGACTGAATCAAATGCCATTTAATCTGCACCCTAACAAATCGATCAGTCTGGCATTAACTGTGAAGTCTTATTCATTGAATAAAAATAGTTGGCAAACCGTGTTTAAGTTGGCAGCAAGAGCATTTAATAGGTTATTTTTTGGGGAGTTGGGATGCATATAGATAGAGGGTATCAGAGGAAGGAGGATAGGGACTCTGCATAATTGAAAATATTGAGCTGGCTCGCTTCGATCCATTCGCACCCCAGGCCTGCCTGTCAACCATAACTACTGAAACAGACTGACTTAGAGTGCTATATAACACAGCGACAACTATTCAAATAAGGAGATTAGGTATAAGGGTGAATGAGGATAGGGCCTTTATTCTAAGCCTTCTCCTCACGAATGATTGCACTAAGTGAAGGAGGAGATGAAGGTGCCCACAGATCCTGAATAAGTAACAATCGAGTTAATTGTTTTAATTGAATTTATTTTAAATGTGGGTTGAAGATACTAGTGGGGGTGGGTGCCGAGCACTTATCCCCATATCTCCCAATACTAACAGTCCCTGTGTGTAATACACATAGTCTGACCCATTCAACACTTTATGACTATCACAATTAGGATGGGTTACTCTAAGACCCTATTGTAGTGTCTTTTTCCCAATTGTACAGCTCTGCGGAATATGTTGGCTCTTTATAAATACCAGTAATAAATAAAGAAGACTCTCTCTTTCAGTCTGTGAATAAAATGGCCACTTGGAGTCATTTAAAATAAAATTATCTGTTGTGTCTACACATACAGCTAGGATGTCCCCTCCCCTCAGCCCTGGAGATAGAGTACTAGCCATGCGCATGAACAGTCCGCAGATTGAGAGCCCCAAACTGTGAACAGCACTGTATGTAGTGTAACATGTATATAGTATAACGGCCAGTATCAATTTATACAATATGATTGAAACCCATATGTCGCCTGTATCAGAGGCTGCTGATTGGTAGAACCCCTTCTTGGTCATGGAGTCTGGCTGCGCATGCGTTTTAGGATGTTAAAAAGCTTCTGCGCAAACTGTAATAGGACAATGACTGGCAGTGGCTATAGTGTTTTTAAAGACCTATAGCCATTTAGGTGACTACGTTTACACACTTTCACACATGTATCATTGTTTAACGACTCCTGTGGGATTACAGACTAGTGAAATTAATCGCAATAAATGTCTGGATTATTGCGGTGTGAGAATAGTATTAATCCTTTATTTCTATTCATTGTGGAGTTTATACACGATGAACTGAACCCAAACTGCAGGCTTTGACTAAACTATGACTATCGCAGGGAGTTTGACGTTTTTACAAACTGTGACTATCGCAGGGAGTTTGCGGTTATTACAAACTGTGACTATCGCAGGGAGTTTATTACAAACTGTGACTATCGCACGGAATTTATTACAAACTGTGACTATCGCAGGGAGTTTGCAGTTATTACAAACTGTGACTATCACAGGTAGTTTGGGGTTATTACAAACTGTGACTATCGCAGGGAGTTTGAAGTTATTACAAACTGTGACTATCGCAGGGAGTTTATTACAAACTGTGACTATCGCAGGGAGTTCGCGGTTATTACAAACTGTGACTATCGCAGGGAGTTTGGGGTTGTAACAAACTGTGACTATCGCAGGGAGTTTGCGGTTATTACAAACTGTGACTATCGCAGGGAGTTTGCGGTTATTACAAACTGTGACTATCGCAGGGAGTTTATTACAAACTGTGACTATCGCAGGGAGTTTGCGGTTATTACAAACTGTGACTATCGCAGGGAGTTTGAAGTTATTACAAACTGTGACTATCGCAGGGAGTTGGTGGTTTATTACAAACTGTGATTATCGCAGGGAGTTTGCGGTTATTACAAACTGTGACTATCGCAGGGAGTTTGCGGTTATTACAAACTGTGACTATCACAGGGAGTTGGTGGTTTATTACAAACTGTGACTATCGCCGGGAGTTTATTACAAACTGTGACTATCGCAGGGAGTTTGCGGTTATTACAAACTGTGACTATCGCAGGGAGTTTGAAGTTATTACAAACTGTGACTATCGCAGGGAGTTGGTGGTTTATTACAAACTGTGACTATCGCAGGGAGTTTGCAAACTGTGACTATCGCAGGAGTTTGCGTTATTACAAACTGTGACTATCACAGGGAGTTTATTACAAACTGTGACTATCGCAGGGAGTTTGCGGTTATTACAAACTGTGACTATCGCAGGGAGTTTGCGGTTATTACAAACTGTGACCATCGCTGGGAGTTTATTACAAACTGTGACTATCGGGGGGAGTTTATTACAAACTGTGACCATCGCCGGGAGTTTATTACAAACTGTGACCATCGCGGGGAGTTTATTACAAACTGTGACTATCGGGGGGAGTTTATTACAAACTGTGACTATCGGGGGGAGTTTATTACAAACTGTGACCATCGCGGGGAGTTTATTACAAACTGTGACTATCGGGGGGAGTTTATTACAAACTGTGACCATCGCCGGGAGTTTATTACAAACTGTGACCATCGCCGGGAGTTTATTACAAACTGTGACCATCGCCGGGAGTTTGCGGTTATTACAAACTGTGACTATCGCAGGGAGTTTGCGGTTATTACAAACTGTGACTATCGCAGGGAGTTTGAAGTTATTACAAACTGTGACTATCGCAGGGAGTTTGCGGTTATTACAAACTGTGACTATCGCCGGGAGTTTATTACAAACTGTGACTATCGCAGGGAGTTTGCGGTTATTACAAACTGTGACTATCACAGGGAGTTTGAAGTTATTACAAACTGTGACTATCACAGGGAGTTTGGGGTTATTACAAACTGTGACTATCGCAGGGAGTTTGAAGTTATTACAAACTGTGACTATCACAGGGAGTTTGGGGTTATTACAAACTGTGACTATCGCAGGGAGTTTGGGGTTGTAACAAACTGTGACTATCGCAGAGAGTTTGAAGTTATTACAAACTGTGACTATCACAGGGAGTTGGTGGTTATTACAAACTGTGACTATCGCAGGGAGTTTGAGGTTATTACAAACTGTGACTATCGCAGGTAGTTTATTACAAACTGTGACTATCGCAGGGAGTTAGTAGTTATTACAAACTATCGCGGGGAATTTATTACAAACTGTGACTATCGCTGGGAGTTTGAGTTTATTAAAAACTGTGACTATCGCAGGGAGTTTACGGTTATTACAAACTGTGTCTATCGGGGGGAGTTTATTACAAACTGTGACTATCGCAAACTGTGACTATCGAGTTTATTACAAACTGTGACTATCGGGGGGAGTTTATTACAAACTGTGACTATCGCAGGGAGTTTATTACAAACTGTGACTATCGCCGGGAGTTTATTACAAACTGTGACTATCGGGGGAGTTTATTACAAACTGTGACTATCGCCTGGAGTTTATTACAAACTGTGACTATCGCCGGGAGTTTGTTACAAACTGTGACTATCGGGGGGAGTTTATTACAAACTGTGACTATCGGGGGAGTTTATTACAAACTGTGACTATCGCGGGGAGTTAATTACAAACTGTGACCATCGCCGGGAGTTTATTACAAACTGTGACCATCGCCGGGAGTTTATTACAAACTGTGACCATCGCGGGGAGTTTATTACAAACTGTGACCATCGCGGGGAGTTTATTACAAACTGTGACCATCGCGGGGAGTTTATTACAAACTGCGACCATCGCGGGGAGTTTATTACAAACTGTGACCATCGCGGGGAGTTTATTACAAACTGTGACCATCGCGGGGAGTTTATTACAAACTGTGACTATCGGGGGGAGTTTGCGGTTATTTTGGCCACAGAGCAGAATGTTGTATTAATGTGGCTGGATGTCTGTGTGCTCTGTCACTCCATCTCCCGACATGCTCTGCCAGTGACTGGGAATGGCTGTGGGCGGGGTTTGTTGGCCCCGGACTCCATTTCCCGGCATGCCCCGTTGCTGACGTCACTCCCCGGCTTGGCTGCTCTCGGCCGCCGTCCATAAGCCGGTAGTTCCGGGCAGAGCGCAGCGTGGAGGCCGCGGGAGGGAGGGGGATGCGGGAGGCCGGCGGACACTCACCGACATGGGGAATCTGTTCGGCCGCAAGAGACGGAGCCGGGTCACCGAGCAGGACAAAGCCGTGCTGGTAAACCGAACCGGGTCACTGGTACCGCCCAGAACCGGGTCACTGAGACCCCTAATACCCCCTGGTGGCAACACCTCCTGACCGGTCTCAGTACTCAATACAGGGCAACAGCACCGCCTGAGCCCACTTTAACCCCTTAAGGACACATGACATGTCGTGATTCCCATTTTTTCCATAAGTTTGGTCCTTAAGGGGTTAATAACCCCCAACAACACCCCCGCCAGCGTCCCCCGACCCCGCCTTGACACCCCCCGCCAGCTTCCCCCGACCCCGCCTTGACACCCCCGCCAGCTTCCCCGACCTCCTGCCTTTGACACCCCCCGCCAGCTTCCCGACCCCGCCTTGACACCCCCCGCCAGCTTCCCAAACCCCCGCCTTGACACCTCCCCCGCCAGCTTCCCCTGACCCCTGCCTTGACACCCCCGCCAGCTTCCCCGACCCCGCCTAGACACCCCCGCCAGCGTCCCTCCGATCCCCGCCTTGGACACCACCCCGCCAGCTTCCCCGACCTCAGCCTCTCTTGACACCCCTGCCAGCTTCCCCGACCCCCGCCTTGACACCTCCCCGCCAGCTCCCCCCGACCCCTCAGCCTTGACACCCCCCCGCCAGCTTCCCCCGACCCCGCCCTTGACACCCCCGCCAGCCTCCCCTGACCCCGCCTTGACACCCCCGCCAGCGTCCTCCGGACCCCGCCTGACACCCCCCGCCAGCGTCCTCCGACCCCCAGGACACCTCCTGCCAGCTTCCCCCGACCCCGCCTTGACACCCCCTGCCAGCATCCTCCGACCCTGCATAAAACAACCACCCCCCGTCATGCAGAATTGAGACAGGCTCAGTTTGTACTTTGAATAGTCGGCCTGCTGGTAGTCAGACTAGGGAGGAGGGTATTCTATTTATAAAAACACGTACTACACAAGAGACGCATTTTAATCACCTTAATAACTGGCTGGTTAAGAGTGGGATGATGTGTGTTACTCTGTCTCCTTCAGGGGTCTATAAATAATTAGCAAAGACTCCCTAAGGCGACATCACTGGTTGTGTTGTGGAGGCCTGTGGGTACAGTAGGGGATCGATATAATTACCTAATGCTATCCCCCATGGATGAGACAGGGAAGTTGAACTGCAGCTTTCCAGGTATTTGGGATTTAACCTTCAATAATGCCTTGCAAGTCTGTGACTTACAGAGAATTATGGGAAATGTAGTTCAAATGTCGTCCCAAAGAAAAACGTGGCTTCTTTAAAAGTGATTGCTCTTCAGGGACCCACTTGAGCTGCTAGTCTTTATATTCTAGTCAATTCACCTAATAATGTGATATTGCGAGGTGTATGACATCACCACCAGAGCATTTCATGCAACCGACAAAGCACCCTAAGACTGAGTGTGCAAATTCCTTGCAGTAATTGCCCAGACAAGGATACAATGAATACAGCATTAAACAGACCTCATTGAAGAACTTCTTTGTGTTGTGGAGGCCTGTGGGTACAGTAGGGGATAGATATAATTACCTAATGCTATCCCCCATCGGTACCAGATGTGTTAGTGCTGTACTCTCGCACATGTGTGAACTGCGAGTCTTGTGATTTCTACAGCCGTCAGTGGCTACAACCAGGGGAAGCTCCACCTTTTGTCAATCTTGACCTTAACCATAGCATAGCCCCTACTTTAATTTGTATGTTTTGGCTGCGTTGGAATGGCAATGAAATTCCATCACAGTCAATGTTAGCACTTCATAAAAGATCTTATCTGTCTGGAACACATACTTTAACAAGGTGAGGAATTCTTATACCCAGCCTTCAATATATAGCCCCCCCTCCCCCCCTTTACCTAATGAAGGAATCCAAAACTAATCCAGTGGAAACAGTAGAAAACTAAATTAAGTCTGATTAAGTTGTTGTAGCCCCCTATAACCTGCCCCCCTTTTCTATATTGTTAGAAAACGTGGCCCCTATTATCAGCTGTTTATTTTACACTGATGTTTTCATTGAAGAAGTTTATATCAGTATTTACAGTGTGATCTCCAGTGGTTGTAACGCCGCTCCGTGTCCGAGTTAGAGGTTACAAGGGATTAGCTGGTAATCTAGCTGCCTGAAAATGCAGCCCGTATCTACACCTATATAACTGTGTAAACTGGGGGACTTGTTACCCCACTACACCGGGGTCAGTACTGTGCAGTAGAAACCCCTCCAGATTGCTGTTCCAGTCCCTGCAATGTACAGTGCTTTACCTGTAACAGGCTGACTAAGTATTAAATGTAATTACAGGTGCAATGACCAGGTGACCCATTTAATTGGGATCCAGGATTTGGTTGTGTGTATTGTATGAGACAGGGAAGTTGAACTGCGGCTTTCCAGGTATTTGGGATTTAAACTTCCATAATGCCTTGCAAGTCTGTGACTTACAGAGAATTATGGGAAATGTAGTTCATGTGTCGTCCCAAAGAAAAACATGGCTTCTTTAAAAGTAATTGCTATTCAGGGACCCAGTTGAGCTGCTTGTCTTCATATCCTTGTCAATTCACCTGATAATGTGATATTGCGAGGTGTATGACATCACCACCAGAGCATTTCATGCAACCGACAAAGCACCCTAAGACTGAGTGTGCAAATTCCTTGCAGTAATTGCCCAGACAAGGATACAATGAATGCAGCATTAAACAGACCTCATTGAAGACATTCTTTGTGTTTAAACATACTTTACTAAATAGTGGTACTTTGTATGTTTTAGTGACAATGGATGTTCTGGTAACATTTGATTCTTGTATTCTAAAAATGAAGCAAAGTAGGAATATTTCATTGGTTTCCATGGCAACTTTTCCACGTTTAGAACACTGCCCCACAGAGGCTCTTCCTGCATAATGCAGACCTTATTTATCACGAAAGTGTGCGCTTTCAAAGTAAATTCAAATTTACAAAGAGCAGAACTGAATTCCATATTGAGTAATTTCTAAAGGGGATGCAATCAGACAGAACCTTCCATTCCATTGCTCTAGATATCACCTAGTTATACAAAGTTTGTAGATAAGCAAGCTAGCAGTGCCATTGCATCATTTTATTTATTTATTTTAAACGAACATTAGGTAATTCTTCAAAGGGACACTAAAGGCATCCAAACAACTTTAGCTTAATAAAGCAGTTTTAGATATAGTATAGAATCGATCACGCACCTGCAGTCTCACTACCCAATTTTCTGCTATTTAGTAGTTAAATCACTGTTTTTGTTTATGCAAACCCAGCCTTACCTCCCCTGTGACTGATCCAGCCTGCATGAAAAAAAGTGTTCACTTTCAAACAGAAGTTAACTCCTGCTTTAAATTGAACTTTATTCACGCACAGGAGGCCCCTGCAGGATCTAGCTGGATATTAACACAGCAGGAGATAATGAATTCAAAATTAAACAGACTGTGCAGAAATTAAAGGAAGTTTAAAGGACCACTATAGTGCCAGGAAAACATACTCGTTTTCCTGGCACTATAGTGCCCTGAGGGTGCCCCTACCCTCAGGGACCCCCTCCCGCCCGGCTCTGGAAGGGGGAAAGGGGTTAAAACTTACCTTTTTCCAGCGCTGGGTGGGGAGCTCTCCTCCTCTGTTCCGCCCCGTCGGCTGAATGCGCACGCGCGGCAAGAGCTTACAATGCTTTCCTATGGACGCTGGCATGCTCTCACTGTGAAAATCACAGTGAGAAGCACGCAAGCGCCTCTAGTGGCTGTCAATGAGACAGCCACTAGAGGATTAGGGGGGAAGGCTTAACCCATTAATAAACATAGCAGTTTCTCTGAAACTGCTATGTTTATTAAAAAAAAAAAAATGGGTTAACCCTAGAAGGACCTGGCACCCAGACCACTTCATTAAGCTGAAGTGGTCTGGGTGCCTAGAGTGGTCATTTAAACATTGTCTCTCTTTACAGGAAGTGTTTAGGAAGGCTGTGTAAATCACATGCAGGGAGGTGTGACAAAGGCTGCATAAACAAAGTGATCTAACTCCTAAATGGCTGAGAATTGAGCAGTGAGACTGCAGGGGCCTGATCTATACACCAAAAATACTTCATTAAAGGAGTACTATAGGGTCAGGAACACAAACATATATTTCTGACCCTATAGTGTTAAAGCCACCATCTGGCACCCTCTTGCCTCCCTAAATTTATTTATTTATAAAATATTTTACCAGGAAAGATACATTGAGATTTCTCTAATTTTCAAGTTTGTCCTGGGAAAATATTACTTCTATTCAAGCCTGAAGCTGCTGGCTCTGCCCCTGTCTACCTCAGACCTGCAAGCTGTCTGCTGACATCATCAGAAGTGTTGTTCTAAGCCTATCACAATGCTTCCCCATAGGATTGGCTGAGACTGTCAAAGAGGCAGATCAGGAGCAGAGCCAGCATGATTCAAATACAGCCCTGGCCAATCAGTATCTCCTCAGAGAGATGAATTGAATCAATGAATCTCTATGAGGAAAGTTCAGTGTCTGCATGCAGAGGGAGGACACACTGAATGTTTGGATGCATTTTAGGCAGCCATGACCCAGGAAGGATCTCTAACAGCCATCTAAGGAGTGGCCAATAAAGTTATCACTAGGCTGTAATATAAACACTGCATTGTCTATGAAAAGACAGTATTTACAGCAAAAAGCCTGAAGGGAATGATTCTACTCACCAGAACAAATTCAATAAGCTGTATTGGTTCTGTTGACTATAGTGTCCCTTTAAGCTAACGTTGTTGTGGTGCCTTTAAGGGTGAAATGGCAGGCGAGGGTTCTAAAGGGTTACTCCAACCTAAAGTTTAGGTTGGAGTAACCGTTGGGGGGTGCGGCGTGACTCCATTATCTTTCTATTACCAGAATGCTGAGAACAGATAATACATTTTCACAGAATGATGTTGCCAAAGGTGGAATTAAACCTTCAGCAGCAGAGAGGTTAACCTCGGAGCCCCTCTAGTGGCTGTCAGTGTGAATGGTTTTAACCTTTCCATGTAAACTTTGCAGGATCCACAAACGGCAGTGTTTTACATTTGGAGGGTTAAATGAACGCCCACTGCACCCCGACCAGTTTATTGAGATACATTATGGAAGATGAAGTGGCTTGAGCATACCCTGTGATGGTATAGAAAAACTTAAAAGTGACCTTTATTAATAAAGGGGAGCATAGCGTCGGGGAAGCAGTGTGAGGCGTGGTGGGTATGAGATTCATTATGTCTTTAGTAGCCTCTCTTTGTCACAAGCTATGTATTCCATTTGAATAGAATCTCTCCAGACCAGCACACCCTGCTATAAACCAGGATCTAAATACGTATTCTTTCTCTATTCTATAGCAACTGAAGCAGCAGAGAGACAAGCTCAAACAGTATCAGAAGAGGATCACACTACAGCTGGAGCGAGAGAGGGGGATAGCGAGGCAGCTGCTGCATGATGGGAAAAAAGAGTAAGTTGTTCATTGTAGCTGAATAAATCCACATGTGTTCATTTATCCCAGTGTCCGAGCCTGGATCTGCGCTTGGAAAAGCAAAGTGAGCTGTAACTAATGATCACAGGATATCCGAAACGAACCCACAATACGAAACGTGATGCGGAACACTTTGCATGCAACGTAATCTCAGCCTTTATTGTCCTGTTTTCATGTATTTTCTTTGGAAATTGTTTCCTTAATATATTGTGTTGGACTTCTGAATAATATTTGAAGCCTGCGCTATTTCTGTTATCACAGCCAGGTTTAATACACCAAGCGGTTAATACCCACAGATTAGTGTTACATTTCTAACTGTCGGTTTACCTGTACTCGGCCCAGTTTGCTTTGTGTAATAAACCTGGCTGGGATAATGCACAGATTAGGGTTACATTTCTAACTGTCTGTGTACCTGTTTCCTGTACTCGGCCTAGTTTTCTTGGTGTAATAAACCTGGCTGGGATAATGCACAGATTAGTGTTACATTTCTAACTGTCGGTGTGGCTGTACTCGGCCCAGTTTGCTTGGTGTAATAAACCTGGCTGGGATAATGCACAGATTAGTGTTACATTTCTAACTGTCTGTGTACCTGTTTCCTGTACTCGGCCCAGTTAGCTTGGTGTAATAAACCTGGCTGGGATAATGCACAGATTAGTGTTACATTTCTAACTGTCTGTGTAGCTGTTTCCTGTACTCGGCCCAGTTTGCTTGGTGTAATAAACCTGGCTGGGATAATGCACAGATTAGGGTTACATTTCTAACTGTCTGTGTACCTGTTTCCTGTACTCGGCCTAGTTTTCTTGGTGTAATAAACCTGGCTGGGATATCGCACAGATTAGTGTTACATTTCTAACTGTCTGTGTAGCTGTTTCCTGTACTCGGCCCAGTTTGCTTTGTGTAATAAACCTGGCTGGGATAATGCACAGATTAGGGTTACATTTCTAACTGTCTGTGTACCTGTTTCCTGTACTCGGCCTAGTTTTCTTGGTGTAATAAACCTGGCTGGGATAATGCACAGATTAGTGTTACATTTCTAACTGTCGGTGTAGCTGTACTCGGCCCAGTTTGCTTGGTGTAATAAACCTGGCTGGGATAATGCACAGATTAGTGTTACATTTCTAACTGTCGGTGTAGCTGTACTCGGCCCAGTTTGCTTGGTGTAATAAACCTGGCTGGGATAATGCACAGATTAGTGTTACATTTCTAACTGTCTGTGTACCTGCTGTACTCGGCCCAGTTTGCTTGGTGTAATAAACCTGGCTGGGATAATGCACAGATTAGTGTTACATTTCTAACTGTCTGTGTAGCGGTTTCCTGTACTTGGCCCAGTTTGCTTGGTGTAATAAACCTGGCTGGGATAATGCACAGATTAGTGTTACATTTCTAACTGTCTGTGTAGCTGTACTCGGCCCAGTTAGCTTGGTGTAATAAACCTGGCTGGGATATTGCACAGATTAGTGTTAAATTTCTAACTGTCGGTGTAGCGGTTTCCTGTACTCGGCCCAGTTTGCTTGGTGTAATAAACCTGGCTGGGATATCGCACAGATTTGTTTAACAGTTCTGTCTATGTAGCTGTACCAGTTTGCTTGGTATCCATATTTACTCACAGGTGAATGTTGTGCAGTAATTGTGTCTAGCGATGAAGTCCTGATTGTCCTTTTCCTCCAGGAAAGCGAAGCTGTTGCTGAAGAAGAAGCGATATCAAGATCAGCTTCTGGATAAGACCGACAATCAGATCAGCAACCTGGAGAAAATGGTATGTAATTACATAGTTTCATAGCTGAAAAGAGACTTGTGTCCATCAAGTTCAGCCTTCCTGAAATATGTTTTTGCTGTTGATCCAAAAGAAGGCAAAAAACCCAGTCTGAAGGGCTTCCAATTTTGCCACAAACTAGGAAAAAATTCCTTCTTGACCCCAAAATAGCAGTCAAATGTCTCCTTGGATCAAGCAGCTTTAATTACCCCACTAATTAGAAATTATATCCCTGTATGTATGTAAGTATTTATCCAATTGCAGTTTAAACATCTGTATGGACTCTGACAAAACCACCTCTTCAGGCAGAGAATTCCATATCCTTATTGCTCTCTGTAAAAAAATTTTTTCTTTGCCTTAGATTAAATCGCCTTTCTTCCAGCCTAAATGTGTGACCTTGTGTCCTATATATAGCCCTGTTTATGAATAGATTTCCAGATAAAGGTTTGTACTGGCCCCGAATATTTTTGTATAATGTTTTCATATCCCCTTCTCAGGCGCCGTCTTTCCAAACTAAAAAGATTAAAATTTTTTAACCTTTCTTCGTAACTAAAATGCTCCATTCCTTTTATCAATTTTGTAGCTCGTCTCTGGACTTTTTCTAGTGCCATGATATCCTTCTTTAGAACAGGTGCCCAAAATTGCACAGCATATTCAAGGTGTGGTCTTACCAGCGATTTATAAAGAGGCAGAATTATATTTTCATCCCGAGAATTTATGCCCCTATTTATACAGGACAAAACCTTACTGGGCTTAGCAACTGCAGATTGACATTGCATATTGCTGCCTAATTTGTTGTCTATAACAATTCTCAAATCCTTCTCGTGTGTGTGGTTATCCCTAGTTCACTACCATTTAGGGTGTAAATTGCTTGTGCATTCTTAACCCCAAAGTGAATATCTTTGCATTTCTCCACGTTAAATTTCATCTGCCATTTTAGTGCCCAGTCCCCCAATCTATCCAAATCCCTCTGCAGCAAAGCAACATCCTGCTCACATTTTATTACTTTACAAAGATTTGTGTCATGTGCAAACACTGATACATGTCTTTCAATGCCCATTTCAATATCATTTATAAATATGTTATAGAAGCGGTCCTTAAACAGAACCCTGAGGGACACCACTTACCACTTTTGTCCAGCTTGAAAATTTACCATTAATGATAACTCGTTTTGCTCTATCCTTAAGCCAATGTTCTACCCAAGAACAAGAATATTCATCTAGACCAATTTCTTTTAGTTTGAAGACTAACCTATTGTGAGGAACCGTATCAAATGCCTTGGCAAAATCCAAGTAGATCACATCCACTGCAACACCCTGATCTATACTTCTACTTACTTCTTCGTAGAATGCAATTAGGTTAGTTTGACATGACCTATGTTTCATAAAACCATGCTGATTATTTCTAATAACACAGTTCTTACCAATCAATTCCTGAATATTATCCCCTAATAGCCGTTCAAATATTTTCCCAGTCACAGAAGTTAAGCTCACAAGTCTATAATTTTCAGGCAAGGATTTTGAACCCTTCTTAAATATAGGAACAACATCTGCCTTCCTCCAATCCTCCGGTACAATACCTGAAACAAAAGAATCTTGAAAATTAAATACAGAGGTTCACTTATTTCCCCACTTAGCTCCTTAAGTACTCGTGGGTGGATACCGTCAGGCCTCGGGGCTTTATTTACATTAATTTTCTTTAATAGCTGTAGCACCTTGTCTCGAGTTATCCAATCACAAGTTATTTGCAAGTTTGTTGCAGCAATCATTTGCTTATCTCTTGCCATAGGATCCTCATTAATATATACTGAAGAAAAATAGTTATTTAAAATTTCTGCCTTTTCCTGGTCTTCATTAACTAACAGACCCATCTCTGTTTCCAGTGTACCTACACTTTCTTTTTTTGTTTTTTTTTAGAATTGATGTACTTGAAAAAATTTTAGGGGTTGGTTTTGCATTCTTTGGTTATCAATTTCTCATTTTCTAGTTTAGCCACTTTAATTGCCTTTTTGCAAGTATTATTGGCTTCCTTATATCTTAAATAGGATGCCTCTGATTTGTCTGATTTAAATGCTTTAAATGCCCTTTTCTTAGTTTTAATCTCTTGTTTTATTTCTCTACTAAGCCACATTGGTTTTAATTTGTTTCTTTTATATTTATTACCCAGTGGCACATACTGAGAAATATACCTTTCTAATATTTGTTTGAATAGTTTCCATTTATTCTCAGTGTTTTTATCACTAAGGAGTTTATGCCAGTCGATATGTTGTAGAGCTGCCCTAACCTTATTGAAATTGGCTTTTTTTTTTTTAATTATACATTTTAATATACCCCAGGTGCTTTTGCTTTTTTGAGTTTATTTCAAAAGTTACCATGTAATGGTGTGCTGTGCAGTCAGGAAAGCCATTCCTGGTCCAGATTATATCAGTGTCCAACTTAAAAAAAAATATTTCTAGTCTTCTCCTCACATCCAGTCAGTTCCTACAGCTTCCATCCAGCCCTAACTCACCCTATCCATGCCACAATCATCCCCTGTCCATCGCATTCCGCTTCTCATTAGTCTTACACAGTCCCAGCTCACCGTGCTATAATCTATAATGCATGCAGCAGCCAGAGCTCCCCCCCCCCACTAATACACAACTGTCCATCCATGCCCCTACACTATGTTCATACTCTCACGTCTGTCTCTCACCTTCAAGACTCTAGGACAGCTCCATTCCTATTAAACTCCCCTCCCTCTCCGTTCGTCTCTCACCCAGTTTCCATTCTGTGAAAAATCACTGACAACTCACTTCTGAAAAAAGGCATGTCAATGAAACTGTTAACACCTCACTAACCTACCTGCTCTCCTGCACATTTCCAGACATAAAATACATCTTACCCTCACCTCTTGTCATTTCACCCTACTTCCCTTAAAAAGTAAGCGCTTTTGAGCAGGGCCCTTTCCTCCTTCTATTTCTGTATGTAGAGCTTGTTGGACCTACTAGTTTGCTAGTCCTTCTATTGTACCGTACTGTGGAATTTGTTGGAACTTTGTAAATAATTATAATCCTTTCTTAATCATGTGCTGTATGTGGTTTTGGATTACCTTCATTATTCTACAACTCATTCCAGGTTGATATGAAACCATCCATATTTATCAACATGTAGATTCCTATATCCAGGACAGGTATTACACGTGACATTAACTAGCAGGATGTGATTCTCTTAACATACAGACTGTAATGGTGCATCAGTTCTGTAGAGAATGTGCTATAATGCACTAAGGATGTAGAGTAGCCTTTCGCTGTATCGGCTCATCTGTGTGAAATTCTCTGTGTTTCTTGAAGAGTTGATAAACTACAATGAAACACACATTCAGATGGCTCTAGTAGCGCATCTACACTTCCTACCTCTGAGAATTGGTTAGATGTATACACAAATATGGATACAGCTTAAACCGTATAAAAAGAACTGGAACCGCATACATAGTGATGTATTTCAAAATAAAGTGAATCAAGTGACTGACTGCACCCACAAGAGGTATATATTGATATTTTTTTTTTTTTTGAGCCAATATCGATTCCGAATCTGTGAACTTTAAGGCCGATAACTTACTGATACTGATATTCTGTACATTTACCATTTTGAAAAAAGAAACAATTTATACACAAATTTGCTGTTGACGGAACATGTTTATGATTAATTTATTTTTGCAAATCTTTATTTTTTATTAAGTGGTAAGTGCACAAAATATACATGCCAGTCAGATTTTCATGTTTTCAAGAATATTTAGTGGTCCTCTCCCTTCCCTGTCCCTTGGTGTACCTCTCCCCTGCCATCCCTGTCCCTTGGTGTACCTCTCCCCTGCCATCCCTGTCCCTTGGTGTACCTCTCCCCTGCCATCCCTGTCCCTTGGTGTGTCCCCCATCATGGCAGGTGCAGGTTCTAAGTGCAGCAGTACCATTCAGGTTTTTATTTTAACGTCCGATGCATTAACTGAAAGAAAATAGGTGGGCACCTTTCTAAAGGAATGTCACACCCCAAGATATTTTATACCACCTTCACTTATACCTGTATTTAACAAATATTTGTTTGCGTGAAATGAACATAAAGTTAGATGTAGAAATTCATATCGCTGTATTTAGCTTCCTCTCAGATCATTTGTATAATCGTATAACAGGTTTGTGCCTGTCAGTCAGCATAGAGCTATATCCCCCTGGAGGCAGAGCTAATCAATGGCACAGGAATGAGGAGGAGAAACCAATACTATATATTGATCTTTCTCTAATGCAGTGTGTGCCCTGACTGTGCCAGGCCTGAACTGCATTCACTGAATCTTTAATAAACTTGTAAAAGAGAAGGAAGCATGATATGAACAGACGATTTCCTCAGTGACCGCTACCTTTCGATTAGCAGCTCATTAGTTATGTTTTATCTTGTTAGTCTCCGCAATGATTTTGGATAAAGTTAATGAGAAGTCTTTGATTTTTGTCTCACAGGTGGAAGATATCGAGTTTGCCCAGATTGAGATGAAAGTGATTGAGGGTTTGAAAGTGGGAAATGACTGTTTGAAGAAGATGCACGAGGTGAGTTAATCCTTTGGGATCCCTCCTTGTCACCAACAGGACAGCTGGCATTGAATGAGTTTGTTTTGGGCAGATAACTTGAAGTCTCCATATAACGGGGGAGAATGTATAAGCACTAATTTGGTGTAAGATTCTACAAACCTCCAGTCTGGTCACAACACTGAAATAATCCAAACACTGAATCCGGGTCCAAAGCTCGTCCTGTTACCAGGCGATAATCCAAAGTAAAGTGACATTAATTTGGCTCTGTCGCCTTCAGGGGTCTTTTACGTAGTTTGTTTAGATTGTAGAATTACATCCCCACTTGGTGTGCAGTGACTTGGGGGCAGTTGAAGGTAGATGGACTCTCCGCTCTTGACACTTCATCCACCAGGAGCCGAATCACTCTGTACTCGTGTGCATGCACAGGAGTACAACGCTATGGTATATGGAGAATCCCACAAGACCAATTCTCTAAATTCCTCAGACTATGCCCTGTTCCTAGCGACAGCTGTTAGAATTAACAAAACCTGGCGGAAACTCTGCCTCTTGTCAACCTGGACCTTGACCATAAGACACAGCAGTTACTATTTTGTCTTCTGATATCTTTTGACACTATTGGAAATCAATTGAAATGCAGACAACGTGGGTATTTCACAAACATTCGATCTTTATGAGACTGAAAAGTTGTATTGCCGTGAAAGAACTACTTTAGCAGTATATGTTAATCTGCTATTTAACAAGACGTAATAATATAAACAATAGGAAATGCAATTCCTTAAAGGAGCAAACTTGTTTTCCTGGCACTATAGGGTTATTAGGTCCCGTCCCCCCACCTTCAGGGCCCCCCCTCCCACTGGGCTGAAGGGGTTAAAAATCCTTTTTTCATTTTCACAGTGAGAATCGCGGAAGCGCCTCTAGCGGCTGTCAGTGAGACATCCATTAGAGGCTGGATTAACTGCTATGTTTTCAGCTACAGGGTTAAAACTAGAGGGACCTGGCACCCAGACCACTTCATTGAGCTGAAGTGGTCTGGGTGCCTATATTGGTCCTTTTATAGAAACTGACAGGATCCAGTGTATGTAATAAACTCACACTAATTATTTCTGTAAACAAATAGAATTTGAGTTGGTCTGACTGATTTTAAGAAGTAAAAACCATCGGTACTCAATCTTAATTATTCTCCTTAAAATTAACTCTTCCTGGATATGTTCCTTGCCCGATTTCGTTATGGGATATGTGTTTTACATGTCAAAGATAATAAAACTGTTTTTTAAAATGCTGAGGGCGAATAGGGCCACATCCAGAGTGTATTGCTGTCACTGTTCATGAAAGTCGCTCACAAATTGTATCACAATTCTAATGGTTCCCTGCTAAACAGAATGGTTTTTCTTCCAGATGATGTCGATAGAGGAGGTGGAGAAAATCATGGATGAGACCCAGGAAGGCATAGAGTACCAAAGGGTAAGCCATTGTAATACAACATGTTGCCATCTTTTCAAATTCTGAGCTACGCGCTGCTCTGTAATATGTGATGAAGTTATTAAAAAAAAATATATATATATAACTTTTTTTTTTCTAGCAAATTGATGAGCTACTATCAGGAACTCTGACCGAGGAGGATGAGGAGGCCATTCTGGAAGAACTAGAAGCCTTGAGTCAGGTAAAGGACAACCGCACGGGAGCAAAACTGATTGTTTATTGGGTGTTCACATCAGGGATCTGGGTCCCACCTTTAATTTAAATTAATATCGAGAGAGAGAGAGCGCTCTGTTTCCAGGAAGAAAATTCAGTAGAGTTACAAAACATTTTCTTGGTTAATATAAGATTGAGAGAGTAAACACTTTTAGGGATCTAGTGAGTGATAAACAATATACCGTCTCAACCCTAATAAGCGAAGGTTAGTTTTCAGTGCAGTTTCCCGTTAAAGTATTCACATGGGGAGAGACAAACCGCTCCGCACTCGCTGGATGTAGATAGTGCAGTCCGAATTGTTTATTTTATTTAATCTGTTCTCTATAGGAGGACCTGGAACTGCCAGAGGCCGGTTCAGAGCCACTTCCAGACATTACCCCAGGTAAGGAAAAAGTTATTATATTGTAACTGATCTGTGTAAATACCAGTCCCCTAAACCTGCCTGTTTAATTTGCCCTGTGTCTTCTTACAGAGAAACCGTCCGTCAAGAACAAACCCCAACCGCAGTTGGTGGCTGCATCGTAACCGTATTCCTAGTTACTGGAAGATATAATGTTCAAAAGGCAAGCCTCTCTCCGTCAGATGAAAGGACAAGTCCACATGTCCCCAATGGGATGAATCATTCACTCAGGCTGAGGATTTATCGCACATCCATTAGTCTGTCCTGTCCATGCACAGGGGGGAGGCTCTCCTATTCATTCAGATACTGAAATGACCACTATATCACTGGGTCACCACCTGTTAGCAGGAAAGGACTTGACGTGGACATGATAGTGAATCAAGACTTGTTTTCTAGCAAATCTATTAAAAAGGCAATTTTTTTTTCTCCCGATAGTCTGGTGTGAGTTATGCAAGAGACAGGCTGTGGCCCATGAGAAGTGCCTGTCAGAAATTAACTAACCCTTGGCAATATGGCACTCCCAGGACCTGGTCATTACGCTTCATCTGAAATGGGACAAACAAAGCCCTGCCTGCAGCTGTATATTTCATTGTCACTCACTTATTTGTAGCTTGGAGAGTGAAGCTCAAAACACTTACACTGGGCTGAGCCTGCAAAAAGCTGTTGTAGAACTACAATTCCTATGATGCCTTGCTTGCCTTAAGGCATGCACTACGTCATTAGAATAGTAGCTCTTCAAGAGTTTGGGGGCAATCTTTGCCCTAAGAGGATCTGGGATCTATTCAGTGTTTTAATTATTTTGAGAAATAAAACGATTAACCAGGCAAAGTATATTTACAGTGTACATGTATTATGGAAACCTGTAAAATGAAACCGCTTCTTTTAAATACTGAAACGTCATTTGGATAAATAAAAAATTTAGGAAACATTTGTACGAATTTGTTAGTATTTACTACAAATGAGTGACCCGTCTGTGATTGTAGTAAACATATCACTAGCTCATGTTACCAGGTTTGTGTGTGAGATGTTTATTTGCAGAAGATAATATTCAGCGAGTTCAGCCTGCAGTTAATTAGCGGACATTGATGTCATTACATTGTATTCATTTTCGTAGCACTTATAAGGGCTAGCGTGAAATCTGCTTTAATGATCATTGCTAATTATTACTGTGTAGAATGGCTTTGTATTTGTTTATTTAAAGATCAGCAAAATGTGGAACTTCAAGTTGTGCATTATTGGGAGCTAGATACATTCTCTTGATTAGACAAGTCTTATTTCTTCACATTTAACGTGCGTCTATGTACACGCCTGCCATATGTAGCTTGACCTGTAGGGGGCATCTAATCTCAATATATCGTTCACTTAAATCAAGGATGAAAAAAAACTTGGAACAGGGGCAGCTAAACTCCAAAATGGCGGAAGTCTGAGCTTAAACAAAATGCCATGAAGGTAATGGGAACACGTGTCACTTAGCAGAGTGGCAGACAGGTCACCAAGCATATGAACCCCAAATCGAGTAAAAAAACAAATCTAAGAATAGACATGTTTTGTGCAGATAAAACTTTCTGTGGATTTTAAGCATTTGCCGTGGCATTACTTATATTTTTATGTTAAATCAAGGATGGTCTAACGTTCGCTCCTCAGCTGGGGCTGAACTATAACTACCTTTTAATGCTCTGTCAGCCTAGGGCTCCCCAACCAAGCTGCAGTATAACTTTATAGGGGTAATGGAACGCTCTCATTAAAATCCCTTTCTATAAAGTAAATTTAAAACCGGAACATCACGTTATTGCATAACCTACATTTCTAGAACACCCTTGTAGCTTCTGGTTCTATGCATTCTTTGCAATATGTCTCACAGTGAGCAAGAGAGCGCTCAAATTGAAGGTGTGCAGTGTTGTGACTGATATTTAACAAGTACGATGGCCCTTTAATGGCATTCCTCTCCACTATTCCAGTTTATGGTAAATTAAGGTGGAAAAAAAATACAAGAGAATAACCCCCTTCCCAATGTAGTTGGCAAGTCTTAAAACCTAAATTTCTACCGCTAACTTTTTTACGAAAAATATGTTCATAGCGGGATGTGACGGGAGAGGTGTGTTGGTGTTGTATATATTTCCAATGGAGAGAACAAACCGCACTGTACACTCAGCTTCCCACAATGCACCAGACGTCATCCACACGCTTTGCCTCTGTGATGACAAACCTATCCAATTTTACTATGAATGTCTGGGACAGGGCATGATAGGAATTGTAGTTCATTACCTGCTGTATAGAGTGAATTTGTGATTAATCCCTTTCCAGTAAAGGTAGTGATATGGCATTCAAGGGCTGGTTAGTGTCTGCGTCACTATTCCAACAGCACTGCAAGCAGGACATATTTACAGGGTTGATTTGACTTGTCTGAATGTAATGTGGAATATAAGGCTGTACTGATGAACATTTCAGATTTATTCCAGTAATTAAAATAGAACGTGCTCCTCTATTCCATAACCACTTGAGTGCCTCATTGCCTGCCCCATTCCTCACATTAAATCCAGCGTTGGTCTAGTGACTATCAGAGCTGGTAATCTTAACCCCTCTGTGACTAAGAATCTAGGCCAGTCCTATTATACCAGCTGCCCGAGGGATATTTTTTTTTTTTTAATGCGTTTTGTGGCGGTTTTATGTCTGCTGTTTCCCGAGATGTAGTGCGAATCTTGTTATTCTTAAGGGTTCTATTTGTGGCAAACCTATTAATTCAGTATACCCCTGAGTTTCTATATAAATCTATTCATCAAGAGCTTTAATATTTTCCTTTTTATCAAGGCGATCTCATTAAGCTCCAATACCCACATGAACGACTTGCAGTATTCTGATATATTCCTCTTCCATAAAAATGTACTAATTCTCTGCTTTGCTAATCTAGACCATCAAACAGTCTGTCTCTAATGACAAAATCTATAAATTGATACGTTCCCATTAAGGCGTTTTTATAGCTGTAATGTTTGGGAGAATTATAGTTGGGGGTTACTTAGAATTGCAAGGTTACACCCAAGTAAATACCTTAAATGTAAGTGATATACAAGTAGATGCAAGCATCTGATATTAAATATACATTTATGAGGTCTGAAAAATGAAATGTACATATTTATCCTGAAACTAGGCTCCCTGCCAATCATCGCTATAAGCTTTGCCCTTTAATGACATTGATTGGGGTCCTCCACCACTAACTAAATTTCTGTTCTCTTCATTTGCATTGTGTGCCCATAGCTTAGTGAAGCACTATTGGTGTATAGATCATGTCCCTGCAGTGTCACTACTCAATTCACAATTCATTGCCATTTAGGAGCTAAATCACTTTGTTTCTGTTTATGCAGCCCCAGTCACCCCCCCTCCCCCCCATGACACTGTCTCTCACAGCCTGCAAAAAAAAAAAAAAGTTTAATTTTCAGTTGGATCTTACAGCACAGTGTGTTTAGTTTCAAAGTTTTTTTCTCCTGCTCTTTAAAATTTAACTTTACACATAGGAGGCCACTGCAGAGTCTAGCAAGCTATTAACAGAGCATTAGACATTATAAATTAAACAAAATTTGCAATAAAATAAGTTTAAACATTAGATGTCTCATTACAGGAAGTGTGTAGAAAGGCTGTGTAAGTCACATGTGGGAGGTGTGGTTAGGGCTGCATAAAAAAGTGATTTAACTCCTTAATCGCAGAGGATTGAGCAGTGAGGCTGCAGGGGCATGTTCTATACACCAAACTGCAGAAAGTAACACAAGCAGTTTTCTTATGATGGGATAGTTTACAGTTAATGGAATCTGCAATCAGGCCCGGACTGGCCATCGGGCATACCGGGCAAATACCAGGTGGGCCGCGATGGCCGTGGGGCCGAGGCCGGCAGGGGAGATCACAGGATCTCCCCGGCCGGCCCCTGCAGGGCCAGCGCTATCCGAGCGCCGGCCCTGCTGTGTGCCTCCATGGGCCGGTGGGGAGATCACAGATCTCCCTCACCGGCCCACAGGCAGTTACAGGCGGCCGCCAGCAGGCTGGGTGAGGACCAGCGGAGCTCTAACCAGCAGCTCCGCCGGGTCCTCTCGCGGGATTCTGAGCGTTGCCGTGGTTACCGCGGCAACGCTCAGATATCGCGAGAGTGAACTCTAGCCTGCAGGTTAGAGTTAACTCTCACCACTGGACCACCAGGGAAGGCAGCACGGCTCCCTCCAGGGCAACATGGCTTCCCCCCTCTCAGGCAGAACGGATCTCCTCCCCCCCCCTCCCAGGATAAAGGTAAGAAGGGAGGGGGGGGGGACATAACTTTTTTTTATTTTAATTATTAATAATAAAAACAAATATTTAAAATAAATTCCCTAACAGCCCCCTCACACACACAGCAGCCCCAGACACACACACAGCACCACCAGACACACACACAGCACCCCCAGACACACACACAGCACCACCAGACACACACACAGCCACGGCCAGACTGGGGATACAAAGCAGCCCTGGAAAAAAAATTTGTGCCAGCCCCATAAGTCACTGCGCCATATATTGTCGCGTGTAATATGTAAGGCTATGTCTTGCCAGGACAGATGATTGAGTAATATATATATATATATATATATATATATATATATATATAAAATATTGTCCAATGCTTGCACTCCTGTAAAGAAGTATGTATAGCCCGGTGCTTGTCGGCACAAATAATAGAAAAATATGAAAAGCACTCCAAGGACTTCATATAAGGTGAAAAAAAATCAACTTAGCTTTATTCAGCAACTGCCAAAAGTGATCAACGTTTCAGTCCCATGTCGGGACTTTCGTCAGGATGTCGACTGAAACGTTGATCACTTTTGGCAGTTGCTGAATAAAGCTAAGTTGATTTTTTTTCACCTTATATGAAGTCCTTGGAGTGCTTTTCATATTTTTCTATCTATATATATATATATATATTTTTTGCTTTTTCTAATATAAAATATTGGTCCTTTCAGGGTAAAACATTTAATTATACAGTAAGCATACTCACACGCAGACACAGGCAATTTCACTGACATCTCAATGACACACACAAGCTCATTGATACACAGCCTCATAGACAAACAATCTTACTGATATACATCAGCTCATTGACATAAAAACACAAGCTCACTCACTAGCAGGCACACGCATGCAAGCAAGCTCACTCACTAGCAGACGCACACACACAGCTTAATGTGGTGGTACTGGTGTCTATAGCATGTCCCTACAGGCTTTTCAACGTAAACACTGACTTTTCAGAGAAAAGGCAGTGTTTACATTGCTTCAAAGTGACACTGCTAGTGACAGTCACTCAGACGGTCACTAGAGGTGCTTCCTGTGTTAGTGCACCTACATTCAGGGCCTCCACACTCTGTAGGTGCTGAACGTTCCCCATAGAGATACATTGATTCAATGCATCTCTGTGAGGAGATGCTGATTGGAGTGGCGTTTTGCAGCCAATCCTATGGCAAAGCATTGGATTGGCTGAGATCATCAAGCTTGATGATCTCAGTTATAAAGGCAGGGCCAGTCAAGGGGAGACCAGCACGCTGCGTGGGGAAAAAAAAAAGGTGAGCAAAAACACTATTTTTAAACACACATTTACACCATGACAGACACAGAAACACACATATACCATGACAGACACACACACACACACACACACACACACACCATGACAGACCATGACACAGACAGACACACACACCCCATGACGGACAGACAGACACACACACCCCATGACGGACAGACACACACACACCCCATGACGGACAGACAGACACACACACCCACCCACATGACGGACAGACAGACACACACCCCACACACACACCCCATGACGGACAGACAGACACACACACACCCCATGACAGACAGACACACACACACCCCCCATGACTGACAGACAGACACACACACACCCCATGACGGACAGACACACACACACAGACCCCATGACGGACAGACACACACACACCCCATGACGGACGGACAGACAGACAGACACACACACCCCATGACGGACAGACAGACACATACACACCCCGTGACGGACAGATAGACACACACCATACAGACAGACCCACACACACCATACAGACTGACACCATGACATGGACAGACAGACACACACCATAGCACAGGCAGACACATTACTAGTACCTGCCACCAGGGGGAGGTCTTCTGGAGGCCGCTGGGGAGGTCTTTTGGCAGCTGCTGGAGGACTTGTACTGGCTGCCGCTGGGGAGGTCTTCTGGGGGCTTCTGGCGGCCGCTGGGGGACTTGTCCTGGGGGAGCTGCGCTGTCTGTGCTCTCCCGCACGTTGCTGAATGAGACCAGCGCCGGAATATGACGTCATATTCCGGCGCCGGTCTCATTCAGCTGCGCGCTGGGGAGCAGAGCCAGCGCAGCTCCCCCGGCGGCCGCCAGAAGACCTCCCCAGCGGCCGCCAGCAGACCCAGGTGTCTGCCCGGCCCCAGGTGCCGACGGCCCACCAGGAAATTTCCCGGTGGACCAGTCCGGCCCTGCACACAGCACATGCAGACACACACACACAGCACCCCCAGACACACGCAGACACACACAGCACCCCCAGACACACACACAGCACACGCAGACACACACAGCACCACCAGACACACACACAGCACCCCTAAACACACACACAGAACCCCAGCACCCCCAGACACACACACAGCACACGCAGACACACACATCACCCTCAGACACACACACACAGCATCCCCAGACACACACAGCACCCCCAGCATCCCCAGACACACACAACACCCTCAGACAGACAGCACCCTCACTCCCACACATATACAGCACACACACATATATATATATATATATATATATATATATATATTATAAAATAACCCTCAGTGAGTTAACAGACAAAGAAAATTAGAAACCTAGAATGTGACGGCAGATAAAAACACCCTCACACACAGCACCCCTCTTACACAAACACACTGCGCACCTCACACATACAATACGTCCAAATATATTATATATATATATATACACACACACACTACAGCACCCCTCACACTGCACCACTACACACATTACGCTCCAGATACACATTAGATCCCTTACCCTATATGCACTCTTAATCCTCTACACAAACACACACACACACACACAATCTTCTATACACACTCTGGGTCCTTTACACACTAGATCTCTTACACACACACTGCACCACCTACACACACACTACATTCCTTGTAAGGAAAGACATACAACATTCTCTAAACACACCCTCTCTACAACCCCTACACACACTACGTCACCTATACACACACTACTGCCCGTATGCACACACTCGCTGCATCCCCTATAAAACTATGCCCCTATACACGCACTCTCTACAGCCCCTAGCCACACATATTACACCACAAACACAAATGAAATTGACCTATTTACACAATACCACACCACTCTCTACACACACGCAATCCCACAAGCAGGCGCCAAACACATGCACCATACACTTTCCTGGCCCTTTTGTCCTCTGGTATCCCACTTGTGGAGACACCAGAGACAATTTAAAAGCAAACACAGTGCAAGCATGTTATTACATTTGCTTGCGCTGCGCAGAACAAATTCAGGGCCTTTTTCTAATGCCAGAGCTCTTCAGCAGAGCTCTGCGCATTGAACCAACATGCTCACTTTGAGAGGGGGCGTGTTGTCATTAGTGATGACAAAACACACCCTCTCTGGCCCCGCCCCCTTCTTAGGGGGCCGCTCTGATTGAAAAATGCCCGGGCCTAATTTTTTTCGTAGTCCAGCCCTGTCTGCAATTGTTTATGGTACCACAATATTCCACTATTTGATTTATTACTATAAGAAAATTGCTTTGAATGCGGATAACTTACATGATCTCCTTGTGCAACAAAAGGCTGTGTGTGCTGGGGGTGAGCAAGCAAAGCCACTACCACCCAAAAGGAAAGTTACAGTAGCAACAACAATGAGCTCTGTTATGGTGCTTAGTGTCTCTAAGAAGTATAACCGGTTCCTTAAAAGAAAACTCCACGCACCATCACCACTATACCCCTTTCAGGTGCCCTCCCAGGCTAAGTAGTCAAAGGTTTTCAAATGATCTGAGAATTTACATGTTCTCATAGTAAGCTCCCTGCATTGAGCTATGCCTGGCAGAGCCGGTGTTCTATCATTGTGCTATACCCCGTCAGATTGCTATACCCCCGTCATTTCCGGTGAGGGGAATCAGCTGGATCCTGTGCTGCACATGCGTCCTAGCACTCCTGCTACTCCCCCACAGCAAGGTCCTGGAAGGTAAGTAAAACTAGTTTTACACTTTCATTATAGTTAGTGCATTCACTAAGCTTAGGCACACGGGACATTTAGGGTTAAGTGAGGGTACAAATTAGGGTTAGGTAAGTGCTTCTAACCTCTCTCTCACTCTATTCTTACCCTAACCCTTGGAGTAAGGGTTAAAATAAAGTGTGAGAAAGCACAATTCAGTGATATTCCCCTAATGAGAAATATCACAAAATATGAACAAGTCCCTAATCCTAACCCTAATTTGAACCCTCACTTAACCCTAAATGTCCCATGTGCCTAAGCTTAGTGAATGCACAAACTATAATGAAAGTGTAAAACTAGTTTTACTTACCTTCTAGGACCTGGCTGTGTTAATGGCTGTGTTACTTACCTTCCAGGGCCTGGCTGTGTTAATGGCTGTGTTACTTACCTTCCAGGACCTGGCTGTGTTACTTACCTTCCAGGACCTGGCTGTGTTACTTACCTTCCAGGGCCTGGCTGTGTTAATGGCTGTGTTACTTACCTTCCAGGGCCTGGCTGTGTTACTTACCTTCCAGGACCTGGCTGTGTTACTTACCTTCCAGGGCCTGGCTGTGTTAATGGCTGTGTTACTTACCTTCCAGGGCCTGGCTGTGTTAATGGCTGTGTTACTTACCTTCCAGGACCTTGCTGTGGAGGAGTAGCAGGAGTGCTAGCAGCGATCCAGCTGATTCCCCTCACCGGAAGTGACAGGGGTATAGCAATCTGACGTGGTATAGCAGACTGATAGAACACCGGACTTATCTCATTGGATGAGAACATTCAGCTAAAGAGCTGGCCCTGCACCAAAAGGTTTAAAGGACCACTCTAGGCACCCAGACCACTTCAGCTTAATGAACTGGTCTGGGTGCCTGGTCCTTCTAGGGTTAACCCATTTATTTATTTTTTATAAACATAGCAGTTTCAGAGAAACTGCTATGTTTATCAATGGGTTAAGCCTTCCTCCAAATCCTCTAGTGGCTGTCTCATTGACAGCCGCTAGAGGCGCTTGCGTGCTTCTCACTGTAAAAATCACAGTGAGAGCACGCAAGCGTCCATAGGAAAGCATTATGAATGCTTTCCTATGCGACCGGCTGAATGCGCGCGCAGCTCTTGCCGTGCGTGCGCATTCAGCCGACGGGGCGGATCGGAGGAGGAGAGGAGGCAGAGAGCTCCCCGCCCAGCGCTGGAAAAAGGTACGTTTTTACCCCTTTCCCCCTTCCAGAACTGGGCGGGAGGGGGACCCTGAGGAAAACTAGTATGTTTTCCTGGCACTATAGTGGTCCTTTAACTCAGTGGAATTAATGGAGCTTCTGGCTCCATATCCGGAGGGGACCAGTTCCCAGAGGGCTTCTGGCACCATAAGGACCCTGCTCAATGAGCTTACATGCTAGAGGGAGTGGGGTAAAATGACACAAAAAGGTAAGGATATTTATGATAATCTCAAAGTGGCCACCACCAATCCTTATTGATATGATCCGAAATGGTGTTAATATTGTTATAGGTTTAGTGAGAATGACCATCCATAACACGGCATTTCCCTGGGGAGGTGGGTGCCATCGCTTCAATCCTGCTATCTGATAGAAGATATACGCTGTTTCTACGCCAGCTATGCCAATTTCCAGAAACAAACCTTGTAGCACTGAATGTGTTAAACTCAAAGCAAATGCTGCATGATTATAAACAGCCGCTCTCGCCTTGCTTATCAATGACAATAAGAAGATATTATCAGACTGGAACACAAAGGCTTGTGGATGGGTTATATAGCCCAATCCCCGGATGAACAAACTGTTCGACAAGCCTGAGAATTCTAAACTATTCAGCTTCTCAAACTCCCACGGCCGGTGAACGTGGGCGTGCATGCCTGACTCAGTGTATCTCTCCATCACCCCTACCATTGTGATTCACATAAGCATGGGCACATCACCCACTCCCTGAGGCGTGGGCTGCTTAGGCAACCTATACACCCGAACAGCTTCTATTTAGCAGTCCATTGCCATGTCTAGAAAGTAGCTTTATTCCCCAGCTTACACATGAAAGCTAAGTCTCCTAAATTTTATATTGGCTTTGCCATGATATTCCTGTCAAGAAAAAACAGCACACAGTCACCGCCAGCAACAGATAAGCTGCTCCTCCATCATAACATGTTTTGTAAGAGGAAATCAAGCCAAGTTTGGAAGTTCCAAGTCTGGGCACCAGGGGACGGAATACTCCTGTCTGCAAACAGCGCAGTTAACCTCTCTCTAACTCCTAAGCAGAAAGGGTAATATGTTTCAAACCGAATTTCAGGACATTCGCCTGAAGCACGAACGGCCGAATTGCAAGTGTAACGAGACAACCGAACAACTTATCTATTCGTCATTTGTTTATCTTATTCCAAGGAGGGAACTACTGGACTCCTGATTGTAATTACATTCTCGAGAACAACCCTGACAGGCAACTCTTACTTCTGTCTCAAGAGACATAAATGTTGTCTATCAGAGGACTCTGATTGGCTTACAAGCCAGCCAATCAGAACGCTCTGGCTGAGATTGCATAGACTGGAAATACCCTTATGTCAGTCTGAATGGAGCCCTCAGAATATTTGTAAAATTTGCAAATATTAATTTTGTTTTTTTATTGAGGGGGGCTAAAGAAAGAATACAGGTTTTTAGATATATTAGTGTCACCTAACTTATCTAGAAATTTTTAAACCTCACATTTTGAGCATCTGAGTACACAAATTAAAAGAACCGACCACACGTTCTCAACAATTTATTTTAACCCTAGGCCAAAATAAGCGATCTCACCGTTAGATTAAAGTTTTTATAGTTTTATATGCTTGACATTCTGTTTGTATCACTGATCTCCGAGACTTGATTGTTTGAAACTGTGTATACATACATTTAAAAACAAAATACATTTATAGGCAAATGTAATAACTAAAGTGACTTACCCCCAGGTGATGTGCGTGCTAGACCGGCATCCTATCGTGACTACTGCGCATGCGGGAAAAGTGCTCCGCCCCCGAGTGCCATTCTGGTGTGATGACATCTTCTGTTATCACCAGAGCGACGCGGGTAACTGCAGCGTCGCTATGGAGATAGGAGACATTTCATTAAGTGCCGATGTTAAACCAACGTGGATAGTTATAAATATAAGAAAGGGGTGATAAAAGAGTGAATGAAGAGATAAGCAACACACAGAATACTATACTAGATTGCTATACAATTCAGCTTAAAAACATATACGTCTCACTTTGTGACCAATATGTGTTACTCTATACATGAAATTGTATTATACACAGTGCACATAATTTCATGAAAGGGCTATTATATGTAAAGTGAATATAGTTTTGTAAAGTGCAAATGTAAGTATAAAGTGATCTGATAAAGCAGCGCAATATTATGAAATAAAGTGCTTGCCATATATTACGTGCATACAGTTATTAAAGTGCTTGCCATATATAAAGTGCACACCGTTATTAAAGTGCTTACCATGTATAAAGTGCATACCGTTATTAAAGTGCTTACCATATATAAAGTGAATACCATTATTATAGTGCTTGCCATATATAAAGTGCATACCATTATTAAAGTGCTTACCATGTATAAAGTGCATACCATTATTAAAGTGCTATGGCTGTTAAAGTGACAAGTATAGTGAGACCATTTTTTAAAAGAGAATATATCAGGTTTGTCCGATGTCCCATCCCTATAAGCCAATCTTATACTAGATTGATGCCCCCCTGATTCTTTCACACAGGGGGGTTTCTATCTTCCCAATATATACAAGGCCACATGGACACGTCAGTTTATATATTACGTCAGAAGTCTTACACGTAATAGTATAGTTTATTGCATTTTACTTGTTGGTGTGTAGATGAGTAAAACTTGCGATGTCACCGCAAGTGTCACATCCTAAACACCT